ATCAAGATAATTGAATATAACAATATTTGTAATAATATACAATTTAGTTATAATGAAATAGTTATAAAATAGTGATATTGATATAAAAATAGAACGAAGACCAATTAAAATGTGCAATTTTGTGCAATTTTTAAACAAATGAAGAAAATGCTGATAATATTGTTTATTAAATATTTAACATTGTGTATAAGTACAATATACAATAAAATAAAAAAATTGAATTTCAACTTTAAAATTATTGTCCCCGTAAAAAGAATTTAAATAGGTAATACACGCTCCGCGCGGCGGTAATGCATAGTGGTGTTGAGTGCATGCATATAAACGTAAAATCGCAAACTTTGGAAGGCTATAACTTCCAAAATAATGGTTTCCGCACAAAAATTCAAACAATTTCGAAATCAGCGTTGAAAAACACGTATTTTTTTTAAAAAAAAATCGAAATTCGTGGGGGGCGTGGTAAAGTGCATTTGTTCCAATAGTCCCCGGTAAAAAAGTCTCACGTTAAAAAAAAGGCTCCAAATTACTATTTGATTTAAATTCTGTCTTTTATCATATATGTATTTATTAAGTACATAGCCCATAGGTAAGACATGTTACATATTTGTATTGAAAATTATTAACAATCAACTAAATTAAATAGATACCTTTCTAGGATTAAAAATTAATGTAGATAAGTATTTATATACATAATTAAATACATTTTAAATTTATAGAAAATAATATAATATCTTAAACATATAATAATATATAAGATTTGTCAACCCAATTTATTTAGAAACATAGATATACCAGTATATAACAGTATAGAGGAAATATCGTTTTATTTATTCTACAATGAGAGACTTTGTTTCCGTGGGACTTTCTTACCGGGGACTTTTTTCCCGTTTACCGTATATACGTCATGACAATTGACAATATTTATACATACTTTTAGGTGCTACAATTGCAGAAGATGGTGGTTGGTTGGTTGCAGCCTGCACCATCACCTTGCAATTTTTAAAATGAAACATTCTACAACGAAAAATTAACATTAGTAAAGTTGTCAAAAAAAACAAAAAAAAAAAAGTGAAAAATATAATAAAGTAACGAGTACTCACTTCCACTGGTCGATGGCAAATAAATATAGAATTGATTCCACTGTTTAGTTTTGCCTTGCATTTCAGTAATGGTATTTACCGATGTTATTACCAGCACCGCGGGTCTGTCAAAATCGTTGAGCATTGACAAAAAGCTTATTAAAATTAAATAGGTAACATTTGGTAATACTGCTGTCACGTGGTGGCAGAGTAAACAGCGAAAAGCTCAGTGGACCTGGGCGGCTCTCCGCTCCGACTTCGGGCGACTTTCTTCCACGAGCGTCTGTGCGAAACGTTCGTTTTTACGAATTGCGTATACTACAATACAAATTTACACTCTTTTTTTTTTTTCTTACCTTTTTTTATCCTACCTATTTTTTTTTTTACTACGTTTGGCGTTTTATAGACTAATGAGTACTATTTTTTTTATTATTTAAAGCTCAATTGTTCACCCCGTGTACTTATGTCTTATACATCATTACAGTTTATTTACTGCAATTCACACTTTATATTGGCATAATTGCAATTTAGCTCCCCCTCGCCATTTTGAATTTTTTTTATCGAAACTTATGTAACTCATCGAGTTAAGAACGATGATGCAATCAAAATTTGTCGCTCTCACTTAATTTTGAAGTTATAGCCTCCCAAAGCTAACGATTTAGACGCATGCGCGCAACACTACTTATGCCGCACGAGAACCTCGAGTTTGGCGACCGGAATACTTTTTTAGTTGTTTTTATACTTAAACTGTGTAACACTGTATTACGAAATAACTTACCCTGTAACCTACTTAAGGGGTGGTATTGCATAGCAAGTCGGGAGATATTTTTAATTTGCGGAGCCAGCGACGAGTGCCGCAAACTGTATAATACTGCCCATATACGGCATATACTACGACATAACTTTTTACTTTCCCTGTAACCTACTTAAGGTGGTGTTGCATAGCAAGTCGGGGGATATTTTCTATTTGCAGAGCGCAGCGACGGCGCCGAGTAGCGCAGCGACGAGTGCCGCAAACTGTGTAGGTAATCACTGTTGAGGTCCTCCGCGCGGTAATATAGTAGGTAGTGTTGCGCGCATGCATAATATATAAACGAAAATTAAAAACTTTGGAAGGCCATAACTTCGAAACAAAGTGAGAGCGACAAATTTTGATTGCACCATCGTTCTTAACTCGATAAGTTACATAAGTTTCGATAAAAAAAATTCAAAATAGCGCGGGGGAGCTAAACTGCAATTGTTCCCGGGTTATGTATCCAATCCGCCGTACACAAATGCCCTATAACTCATAGATTACCATACAGCGACGATTGATAGCTAGACATTCCATTACAATTATTCGCAATTCCTAATTTCTTATAAAGTCAACAAAACAGAACAGGACATACAACGGGGCACGGTATTACACCAGTGGCGTATCTATGGGGGGGATATGGGGGTCATATCCCCCCCGGGAAGGTTATTTTAATTTTTTTAATTTTATTAAAACAATTATTTGATAGTTGTATGAAGATTGAACAGCTCACCTAAAACCTAACCTATGAACGAAAATGAATGGTATTAAATTCAATAATATCATACAACCAGTGGCATCATTTCGTTTTTCAATAGAGGGGGCAAAGGTTTTGACCAGCCCGATGAATGGGTAAAAAAAAACTGCTCACAACTACATATTATCTGCTTAAATTTTTTTATGGTACCCTTTTTATTAACTAGGTAACATAATTTTTAAATATAAGGTAGCAGACATTTAAAAAAAAACAATTGTATACATATATCAGTTAAATGTCTGCAAACTATTATACGGCTATATTTATATTGATAAACGAAAATATTAGAAGTTTATTAGGATATCTTCTTTTTTTTGAAAATATATCAACTGCATTATCTATAAATCAATTTTACCTGATTCCTCACTTATTGTCCATACTCTATTACTCTTATATTGGTATACAATATATTTACAAATTAATATTATCTTAAATAAAAATATATTTTTTTTTATTGCTTAGTTATCACCTCAAGTTTTATCTGTTTATTAAACATACCGGAAATTATTTTCGATTCTTGAGCAGTTTGCGTTAATTTAATATTTTTAGCCACACAACCCATTTATTTTTTGTCAACCCAGTCATATTTTGATCAAATTAAAAGATTAATGTAAACACGCGTCACGAAAAAATACATTTTAATTTAGGTAGAATAAGGTACTCAACTTAAATATTAACACAATACCCAGAATAGTTGAATCATACACGACTGTTGTAAGTTTACTGAAGTCCGTGATCAATGATAATTAATAAAAGTTCCAATCGGTTGTTGTTTTTAGAGTTTGTATTAGGTAGTTTTAGATTTTAGAAATTAAACTATACTAGATTATGATACCTACTAATTATTATTATTATTTTTACACATTACAAAATTTTTATATCCCCCCCCTTGAAAAAATCCTAGATACGCTAGTGTATTACACCAATCGCAGGTGGATTGCATACCTTGTAATATACGCTTCACATATTGTCCGCGATCTGACGCAGTCGGATTACCTACCTATGTGATTTGATGACTGATAGCTAGACAATCAAATACACATATCGATACTACAATTTTTAATAATTTCAACAACCAAAAGCAATTGACTAGAGATCCTGGAGATCGTATCTATTTACAATGTTTGTGACGGATTGCTAGACGATCAAACTTTTAAATATTCCTGCCAATGCGCCAAGCCTTATCTCCAATCCATATCACTAATCCTAAACTTTTGACTTACAACCCTTGTGATTTTTATAATTCCAACGACATTGTCTCCGAAATCGGTACTCACTTACAAACAAACACTGGGGGGTCCGGGGGTCTCCCCCGGCTAGAACGGAGGGCTAGTTATATTAATAAAATAGAGGGAAGTGTCGCCGGAATGGGGAAGAGAGAAAGACTGTTTTTTATCAAGACCTCTATAACCTCAAAATATTTTCATGTTCATTCCCGTATGTTAAGCATAAATGGCCTATCCATTCTTTAATATCTATGGTATTTATAGATTTAATAAATTTGAATGTTATTACCAGACAGCATGAACTAAGATATCTTAGTTCATGCCAGACAGTAAATAAAAACGGTTTATATTACTCACAGATATATACAATTGTACACGGTCTTATATAAGACCGTGTATATAACCATTAAGGTTCAAAGTCTTAACACTGTACTATAAAGGCGGGTTTCCACTATACACGTTTGCCGTGTACACGAAAAATGTTCAGCTATGTCCAACAACACGGTATCATTGTTAACCGTGTGGTAACTGATCGTAAACAACCAATCACAGCAAATGATTTGTATGCACGTACACGCATCCGTGTAGAGTGGAAACCCGGCACCCGCCTTAATGCGAGTTGCCCGACCTGTATACAAGACCACTTAGATCATATATTATGATCTAAGCAAGACCGTGACAATTGTATATATCTGTGATATCACTAGAAAAAAACACAGATTTCTATATATTACTAGATAGCGAACTCCGGTCATGAATTGAAGCTTCAAGGTCGGTTGGCAATTGTATGGTATTTCAAATGACAAATAAGATGATATTATGATTTATTTTATATCGTATTTTATTATTTTTAAACATTTAGTTTACAAAAAAAAAAAATATTTTATATAAGTCATTTTACATTTACTATTTTATTTGACCGTTACAAAAAATATTATTCCTAATACATTTTGTATAATAAATGAAATGTTTTGCCAACCGACAAAATGGCGGCCGTTCACAGCTGAGCTTCATTTGTAACAATGTAAATTGTATAAAGGCGCGTTCACAACTACCCGTGTCGTGTGAATTGTGAATTGATTCGTTCTTCGGGAACGTTCCAAATCAGGACGATACCAGACACCCGTCATAATTTCTACCATGGTACCATGGTTATCAAATTTTCACGCGGGTATTTTTAAAATAATCAACTTTGTATTAAATATATATAAATATAAATAAATATTATATTATTATACAATTTTATTCTTATCATTATTAACACAATAAATAATCATTAGTCATTAATCAGTTTTTACTTGTTGTTAACTGTCAGTGGATGAGTGATGTCAATTGGTAGATGTATTTTTCATACTCAATCTGTACCTATCTAGTTTGTGAGTTTTTTTTCTTATTTGGAATACATATTAAAATGAAACGAAACTACAACGAAAATGAATATAAGCGCAGTGTGTATAACTATAATATTGAAGTTCACAGGCGAAAAGTCCTATTAGTTTCATACATGTATCTTATGGATTCTTATAAACATTGCTCGTCGTATGTAATATTATATAATTTAGTTTTAGATTTTTCCTTATTAATCAGTGTCGGTCTAGCCCGTCCCATGTTCACCAAGGTCTACCTTGTATTTTTTTGTAAATATAAAATAACATGTCTCTTCAGTGTCTAACTCATTGGATCATATCATTAGTCAGATTGATACTGGAAGTCTGGAAATAATTATCTTTATTTGTAATTATTTTGTATAGTCCTAGAAGATGGCATGTGCGACCAGTTTTTAAAGAACGATGTATCTTTAGTCAGTACAACACATTCATAAGAGAACAAAGTCTAGTTCACTCTTCTTTGTATTTTAATTTTACTCGGATGTCTCCCACAACTTTCGAGGAACTTGCCCAATTGGTCGCTCCAAGATTGATGCGTGAAAGTTTTAGGCATGACGTTCTAACAGTTGGTGAAATTCTAGGGGCTACGTTAAGGTATATAATTAATAACTTAGGGTTAAAAAAAAAAATAATAAAATAAAATGTCAATTAACTTAATAGTATTTAACAATAGTATAATACTTAATAGTATCTATATATAAACAAACATTGTTAATGGTAATATTATAAAATTCTTAATTTTAATTCTTAGAATCTTAGTACAGATGGAAAAAATATAATATAATATAACATATTATTTACTGTTGTATAGTTTACATTATTCCTTTTATAGATATTTAGCTACAGGCGAAAGTATGATGGATATCACGTATGCTTTTCGAATGGGCAAATCGACAGTGTCTAAAATAATTGTACAATGTTGTAATGCAATATGGGACATATTAAAAGATAAAGTAATTATTTATTTATTTAAAAGAATCCTTTAATAAAGATTTATTAAATTTAAGCACTATTTTTGAATTAGGTATTAATTCAACAAAACACTTATGGATGGTTAACAATTTCAAATGAATTTGAAAGTAAATGGCAAATGCCCAATTGCGTCGGTGCTTTAGACGGCAAACATATCATACATCAAGTAAGTTTACTTAAGTTAAATTGAAACTAATCTTATTAAGACTAAATTACACATTTATAACAATGCTTTTATTTTGTAGGCATTTCCTAATGGAGGCTCAACCAATTATAATTACAAAGGAACCCATAGCACCATCCTATTGGCATTATGTGATGCCAACTATAATTTCACATATGTGAATATCGGCATGCCTGGTAGATGCAGCGATGGTGGTGTTCTAAAATCCTGTGAATTAGGCAAACAAATTTTAAGCAATGGTTTAGGATTTCCTGAGGCTTCTCCAATAAGTGAGACTTCAGGAAACATACCTTATTTTATAGTTGCTGATGAAGCTTTCCCCCTACTAACATCAATGATGAGACCATACCCTGGTCGAGGAAAACAAATATTACCAATTAACAAAAAAATATTTAACTACAGGTAAAATATTATACTACAATAAATAATCCATATGAGTAATTCTGATATATTAATGTATTTTAGACTTAGTAGAGCCAGAAGATGTATCGAAAATTGTTTTGGGATATTAGCATCTAGGTGGAGAGTATATAGACAAACTATAATTGCTAGCGAAGAGACCGTTAACGCCATAATTAAAGCTACAGTTGTACTTCATAACTTTGTAAAGAATAAGGAGACAGAATATGGTACTATAATTAAATATATTATATTTATATATGAAAGTATTAATTTAATAACGTAAATTTATTCCAGGATTATTATCTCATAACTATTCAGTTAATGATGAAGTTATTAGTCACCAAAGAACAAGTAGAGTTCCAGGTTTAATGCCTGTTTCGCAAATGGGTTCCAATTTTTATGATCAAAGTGCAAAAGATATTAGAACTAAATTAACTGAGTATTTCTCAAACGAAGGAGCTGTGCCTTTCCAATACAACTATGTGTAATAATATTATTTTAATTACTTATTTAAAAATATTATGTTTATAATGTAAATTGTAATAAGATTTAAGCAGAGAGTCTACTGCCTGAGTCTATTTGTAATAAAATGTCAATAATAGGTATAATGATTATATTATTTAACAATAAAACAAAACAGCTTTAATTTTAGATTAAAAAAACAAAATATAATTAGGAACTCCCTTAAATTAAAATCATAGTAAAACAAAATTAAATAACATAGTTTCTTTTTGGTAGGTATTTTCTAAATGAAATAAATCAGTATCAACTTAAGGTATAAAAAAAAAATATAATAAGGAACTCTTTTAAATTAAAAATCATAGTAAAACAAAATTAAATCACATAGTTTCTTTTTGGTAGGTATTTTAAATGTTTTTTATTCAATTTGTTCAAATACCATGTTAATGAATGTGTGTTGTAATCTGAGTTTAGCATTTCTAGGCAGACCTGCCATAAGGTTTGTCAAATATAAACAAAAATCCCTATCTTCATTTATTGGTTCAGATTTTGGAGAAGTTGGAGGAATTGGCCTGTTATTTTTTAATTCGTCAATTAGCACAGACATGTGATCTTCCATTAATAATTCTAATTTATAAAATAAAATACAATTAATATAGATACTATTTTTTATAACATATAATGCATACTTTTTTTCGGTCTTGGTGGTACATCTGTATCAACCTCTTCGCAAGTACTTGGAATACTATCCGTAGTGCTATAAAATATATTATAACAAATTTAAAAAAAATAATCATTCATTTTTTTTTTAATTGACATTTACCGTTTTTTACATATTACTACATCATCTAAGAACTGCAAACTGCGTAAATGAGGCCATTCTTTTTTAGTAGCTGCACTGCCAGATGCTGGGATTTATTTTTCTCGAGTGTACTTTTCTTTTAAATACTTCCAACTTTTTTTTAATGCAGGAATTGAATATTTTCCTGTTAAAATAAGTTTATCATAATGATAATTGGTTTTTATAAATTATCTAATGTATAATATCAACTTATATGTTTACCATTAAAATGTACATATACACTATTCCACAAGTTAGCCTTAACAGCATCAGATCTTTCACCCAGTGATAATTTAAAGTTCCATAGAGGTGTACATGGTTCAATGACTTCAATAAGTTTTGACATATCTTGTTTAGCAACAGCATCTTCAGAAATTTTGCAGTTAACATTTGAAGCTGACATATCATTAAAATCACCTAGACATATTGTTTGTATAGTAAATCATAGTTTATACAATTTTACTATTATATACTACTCATTGCTAAAGAAACTGTATTATTATTATCTTGTAGTTTTTTATTAACTGTTGGTAAACTGTTATGTAGCAATAAGGTTGGTTCATCATTCTTGGACTTAATCAAGTTATACTTCTTTAATGGTTCTTGAAAATACATAAATATTGTAAATGTTTATCTTATTTTATATCAATATTATCTCTTTGAAAAGTTAAACAGGTGTATCAGCAACTTTATGATACACATCCCCTTTGGAAAAATAACTGCACAGAGTAGAAACACTATTTATGCACATGTACACCACAAACAAGTGGTCAACCTAGTACATGGGATAAAGTAGAGGTAGGTGAACTGATCTAAAACTCATACCGTTGCTGACATACCAGTTTAATTTGTGTTGATCATCTTAATTAAATTTAACCAACTAGTTACTAGTATATTAAACATACTTGGTGTAGGTGTATCTTCTGATGAATTATACTGGGGACTTTCTATTCGAAACTGGTTAAATAAAGAACTGCTGCATTTGTGTGAGCTGTTTAGTAGAACAAATGTTTGACATTTATCACACAATCGCCCCTAAATATATACAATTTTTAATAATATCTATAATACAGTATTTTACTGTTTAGTGTAAACATTAACTACTAGCATCCAAGCCTGTTTAATAGTACCTACAGGCTATATTAGCTTTCTACTTTATATATTTTAGTTTTGAATCAATTTACATTTAATATATTATGATAGGTAGGTAGGTATTATAATATATAAATATACAGGGGTGTGCGCAGGATATGAACACTTTTTGAAGTGTGCACAGGCCTATGGATTAATAAATAAATAATATTCAATTAGTACACTATAAAAAAAAAATAGTGCAGCTACGATAGTATATTTAAATTAAAATATTATATATTAATATATTTGAACTTTGGTATGACAGTTAATGATGTTCTTATAGTCTATACGTAAAAACAACAAAGAAAAATAAATTGTCTTACTTTTACAAAGTTCATGTTGTTCTTGTTTTCGGTTTGGACTCAGGTCAAAACAAGTATTATTATTTAAATAGTAAATAGGTACGAATATACGATCAACAGAAGACACGAATATTAAATAATTTAAATTCAAAGTTTTTCAGTTTTTCTTATCAAAATATAATAGATAACAATAATGAATAAACCACATCGCCAAGGCGTGAACATTGTGACCAGCACGATCAAAAGTTGAATTAATTCAACTTCACGGTAAATGCGGTATCGTGTTGGTCGACACGATCATATTTTATTATCAAATTTTGGTAAACCAATCAGAAAAGAGGATTTTACACGACACGACACGACACGGGTAGTTGTGAACCCGCCTTAAGAGTTCCTTATCTAGTGTAGTAAAGAAGTCTGTGGAAAAAAAACGGTTTATATCACTTTCATGGATGAAAATATCATATCAATTTGGCTTGGAATAAACAACAATTAACATTATCGCAGGCCGCTGAATTTAAAAATATTTAATATTTATAATATATTATACAAAATATACAATTTCACAACTGACCATTGCCGTACGCCCGTACCTTTGGTGAGGGGGGGAGGTCCCCCCCCCCCCGAAATGTTTTCAACATATCTTATTTTTAACCAAATATCAAAACATATAAATTCAATAAAATTACAATATAGGTGTTTTGGACCCACCTCCGAAAAAAATTTCTGGATATGGCCTTGCAACTGAATATAATATAATGACATAAATTTCCAATCATATTGTGTACTACTTTACTTAGTATATTTATTAGGCAGTGGTAATGTGGTATTTAGATTATGTTGATTATGATTTATGAGTCTTAACATAGTAACTGGTAAGACAAAAAGTAATAACATATTAAACTATATACTTATGTATTATTTATGTGTTTAGGTAGTTTCAGGTAAGCCGTAAGCATTATATAAGATTGTTAATTTATTATTCATTATTATTCTCCTAGACTCTACGCCATACATGTCAACTTATTGAACTTAAATAAACAATCTTACATAATATAACGATTCATTATTTGAATAATTAAATTTGGAAATAAATCATTATACGTTATTGTTTATGTTCAATGTCATTAAAATTGAAATATTTATCTTGTATAAATATTACTGAAGTTATATTGCTAAATTCAAAACAAATTACTACCAATCATACCAATGTAATAAATGCATATTTAATATACACATAAAATTAATAGTACTTATGATAGACAACTCTGACTGTATTATGTACTAATGAACTGTATAACACTATCTTTTAATTTTCTTCACAGCCCCCGTTTACTTAAGTGTAATTTATATTTTTACACTAACCTTGATCAACATCTCAAAAAAGTAATAATATTCTAGTACTATAAATAAATAATAATAATTAATATAAATAATAATGTATATAACATTTTATGTATAATATATTCATAACCTTTTTGAATGTCTGAACACTTAATATTTTATAAAATTTTTGCGTAACAGCCGTAAAATAAAACAGTATTTATATAGGTTTTTACATTTTATAATATATTAAATAATGCATAAATAGCACAAAATAGTTTACATACATATTTTTCATTAAAAATTATAAAAGTAATTTATACAGTTTAAAAAAAATTCAGAATCTGTGGAACACCACTGATCCTTATTATGGTTTAAGTGTTAAACTGTGTCATTATTATTATTATTATTATCAAATTATTATTTGTTTTAGAAAAATGAAAATACCAAGTTCTTTGAACAATTTTGAATTGGAATATTCAAATTGTACCAATTAGTAATTTAGTTATTTGCTGTATTAATCATAAGTTAAATATAAAATCTTATTTAATTATATTTAATACAATTATTAGATAGATAATCCATTTATTAGGGTTTCACTAATGTTTATCATAAAGCTACTTTGAATGACCAAAAATTAATGAATACAATTTCCATAAGTCATGTCTAACTAAATTTCTGAAGTCTGAACTAGGTATATGTTGCCACATTCCAATTCACATCTACACATCCTGGTCTTCGAAGATCTGCACTACTAAAATTGGCTACCTTACTTCTTCACAGTCGGACAATGGTAGTATGGTATAGTCTACAAAATTAAAAAAATACATTTAATAGGGTTTTACTAATGTTTATCATAAAGTTACTTTGAATTTCCAAAGATTAATGAATCCAATTTCCATAAATCATCTCTAACTAAATTTCTGAAGTCTGAACTATGTATATTTTGCCATTTTCCAATACACATCTACACATCCTGGTCTTCGAAGATCTGCACTATTAAAATTGGCTACCTACTTCTTCACAGTTGGACAATGGCAGTATGGTATATCCTACAAAATAAAAAAAAAACACAATATAGAAATGTATTTTGATTTAGGGAAGTCATAAAAACATGGTTTTGAAATAAAATCGTTTGAGCCCTTTGGCCACATTTCTAAAATTTGAAATAAAACATCAAATATTAGTTATTACCGCTCTAATAATGGTAAAAACAGTGTTGTTTTAGTAAAATATTGAACGCATATATTTTATAATTATCTTATTAAATATAAAATAAGTGGATATCTAAATATTCTAGTTTTTTAAATACAAATAGAAAATAGACTAATGATAATGTAGAATATTTATTGTTTTATAATTATAATTTAATAATTTAATAATTTTGAGGTCAATTGTTCAATTAGTTGATAAATAAATAATTAACTAA